ATGATATGGAGCTTTTCCATTGTCTCTTTCCGCAGATACAGTCAGTTTGATTTCTGTGTATTCCATCTAATTATCTCTTATGCTGTCTAAAGACGGTATTTGAAATGAACAAATCATTGGTTTTGCAGAATTGTATCATGTGTTCTCCAGCATCATTTCTATCACCAAAGACATATTTTCCTTCCTCTTTGTTCCCAACCTTTGCATTCCAATCACCATTAATGATCAGTACATCTTGATTACATGTTTGATCATTTACAGATTGAAGAAGTTGGTAGAATTCTTCTATTTCATCCTCACTGGCTTTAGTGTTTGGTGCATAAATTTGAATAATAGTGGTATTAATTGGTCTTCCCTGTAGGCACGTGGATATTATCCTATCAGACAGCATTGTACCTCATGACTGATCTGGATATGTTCTTTTTGACAACGAATGCAACACCATTTCCTCTTCAACCTGTCATTCCAAGCATAGTAAACCATGTGGTTGTCCAACTCAAAATGGCCAACACCAGTCCATTTCAGCTCACGAATGCCTAAGATATCAGTATTTATGCATTCCATTTCATTTTTGACAATATCTAGTTTTTCTAGATTCATAGTTCTTACATTCCATGTTCCGATTATTAATGGATGTTTGCAGCTATTTCTCTTCATTCTGAGTTGTGCCCCATCAGCAAATGAAGGTACTGCGGGCTTTTCTCTGTTTGCGTCATCATGGTCTGCTCTACTTTGAGGAGGCAGCTCTTCCCCAGTTGCATTTTGAGTGCCTTCCAACCTGAGGGGCTGGCTCATTTTCTGGCACTATGTCTGACAGTGTTTTTCTGCTATTCATAAAGTTTTCCGTAACTAAATATCCAAAAGTAGTTCATCACTTCTTCCTAGTCTGTCTTCATCTGGAAACTCATCTGAAACCAGTCCAGCATGGGTGACCCTGCTGGTATTTAAAATCCAGAATCACAGCAACTCACCTGCCATATTAGACTATTGAAAATACCATGACTTGTGTCAGGCGCACTTTAGTCCCCAAACAGTGCTCTTGAATTTAAAAGAGGTCTGTCTTGTGCTATAGATTTGCCTAATGCAATACATTGTTTGATTTCTTGACTGCTGCTTCCATGAGTGTTAATGGTGGATCCAAGCAAAATGAAGTCTTTTAACAACTTCAGTCTTTTCTCCATTTATCATGATGTCATTTATTAGTTCAGTTGTGAAGATTTTGGTTTCTTTACATTGTGGTGCAACCCATACCAAAGGATGTGGTCTATGATCTATATCAGTAAGTATTTTAAGTCGTCTTTCAGCAAGTAAGGTTGTATCATCTGTTACTGAGCCTTCCTCCAATCCTGTTGCCTTTGTCACCACTTAATTCAGTTTCTCAGATTATTTGCTCAGCATACACACTGAGTAAGTGGGTTGAAAGAAAACAACCCTGGTGCACACCTTTTCCTGATTTGAAACCATTCAGTGTTCCCTTGTTTTGTTTGAACAAGCGGTTCTTGGTCTGTGTACAGGTTCCTCATGATCACAATTAAATATTTGGGAATACTCATTCTCTTTAGTGTTGTCCATCGCTTGACATTATCCACACCGTCTAGTCTAAAGCCTTTGTTTAGTCACTAAAGCAGAGGTAAACATCTTCCTGGTACTCTGCTTTCAGCCAAGATCCATCTGACATTAGCAATGGTATTCCTAGTCCCACGCCCTCATCTGAATCTGGCTTGAACCTCTTGACAGTTACCTGTCAATGTACTGTTGTAGCTGTTTTTAATTTAGCTAAATTTTACTTGCATATGATAATGATATTTCCCAATGATTTCTGCATTCTGTTGGGTTACGTCTCTTTGGAATGGGCACAAATCTGGATCTCTTCCAATCAGTTGGCCAGGTAGCTGTCTTCCAAATTTCTTGGCAGAGATGAGTGAGTGCCTCTGGGCTCTGGGCTCAGCACTCAGGCTGCATTAGTTTGTTGAACGATTTTAATTTGTATTCCATCAGTCCCTGAAGCCTTCTTTGCCAATGCCTTCAATAGACCTTGGGCTTCTTCCTTCAGTACTGTTGGCTATTGGTCACATGCTACCTCTTGAAATAGTTGAGCAGCAACCATTTCTTTTTGGTACAGTGACTGTGTGTATTCCTTCTATCTTCTCTTGATGCTTTCTGCATCATTCAATATGTTACCCATAGAATCCTTCAGTATTGCAAGTCAAGGATTGGAGTTTTTCCTCAATTCTTCCAGCTTGAGAAATGCTGACAGTGTTCTTCCCTTTTGGTTTCCTAAATCCAGGTCTATGCATATTTCATTATAATATTTGACTTTGTCTTATCAAACTGCCCTTGGAAATTTTCTGTTCAGATCTTTTATCTTCTCTTTTCTTCTATTTGCTTCAGCATCTCTATGCTGGAGAGTAAGTTTCAGAATCTCTTATGACATCCATTTTGGTCTTTCCCTTCTCTCTTGTCTTCTTAATGACCTTTTGTTTTCTTCTTGTATGTTCTTAATGTCATCCCATTATGCTTCTGGGTTTTGGTCATTAGTGTCTAGTTCATCAAATATGTTTTAAAGATGATCTCGAAATTCAGGTGGGCTATGTTCAAGGTCATATTTGTCTCATGGAGTTTTTTTTTCATTTTCTTCAGCTTCAGCCTGAACTTGCATATGAGCAACTGATGATCTGTTCAACAGTCTGCCCCTGGCCTTGTTTTGGTTGATAAAGGGAGTTTTTCTACCGTCTCTTTCCAGAGATGTAGTCAGTTTGATTTCTGTGTATTCTATCTGTTGATGTCTATGTGTATAATCATCTTTAATGTTATTCTTTTGAAATAATTTATAATGAAGAAATCATAGGTCTTGCAAAATTCTATCATGTGATCTCCAGCATCATTTTTATTACTAAGGCCATATTTTCTAAGTCCTGGTTTTTCCAATTTGTTTCCAACCTTTACATTCCAATTGCCAGTAAATATCAATACATCTTGATGGCATGTTTGATCAAATTCAGACAGAGGAATTTGGTAGAATTATTCAAATTCATCCTCACTGGCTCTAGTGTTTGGTGCATAAATTTGAATAATAATTGTATTGACTCGTCTTTTTTGTAGGCTTGTGGCTATTATTGTATCACAGACAGCACTGTACTTCAGGACAGATCTTGAAATGTTCGTTTTGATGTTAAATGCAATGCAATTCCACTTCAATTTGTCGTTCCAGGAGTAGTAAACCATATGATTGTCAGATTCAGAATGGCCAATACCAATCTATTTCAGCCCACTAATGCATAGGGTATAGATGTTCATACGTTCCATTTCATTTTTTACAATTTGTAAGTATCCTAGATTCATACCTCATACATTCCATGCTCCATTATTAATGGATGTTTACAGCTGTTTCTCTGCATTTGAGTTGTACCCCATCAGTAAATGAAGGCCCCAAAGGCTTTACTCCATTCGTGTCCTCACAGTCAACGCTATTTTGACGAGGCAGCTCTTCCCCAGTCATATTTTGAGTGGCTTGCAACATGATAGGCTCATCTTCCCACCCTGTATCTGACAATGTTCGGATGCTGTCCACTGCTTCAGTAGTCAATATTCTGGTCCTAGCTGCCAGTGTTGCAATGTATTCACAAGGGTCTCAGTAGCTGACCATTCGGAAGTTGTCTTCCTCTCCTTCCTTCTCTTAGTCTGGAAGCTCCGCTGAAACTTACCTACCGTGAGCGAGCCTGCCAGCATTCGAATACCAGTGGCATCGCTTCCAGCATCACAGCAACACAAAAGCCATCCCAGTGTGACAGACTGGCAGACGAGTGCTGGAGTTTTCAGGGGAGGACTGAAAATTATGTTTTAAACAAGTTCTTAGATGATGATGTTGCTGGTTCTGCTGGGAACTGCATTTTGAGTAGTATTCCCATGATGTAAGCACCTCCACCACCAAGGCAGGGTGTCTTGGAGAGGTGTCACAACTAGATCTAAAGACAGTCACTGAAATTGTGCAGAAATCTGACCAGTTAATAGTTTTAAAAACTCAATGGAGTTAAAGTCTCCCTATTATTACTATTAAGGGGAGTAGTTGGTTAGTTATTTTTAAGTTGGTGGGGCAAATGTATGGAGCTAATAGCCTCAGGCATCTGTCTGGGTTAGAGAGATGGAATGCAGAACATTCCAGAATCTATTTAAATGTAGCTCGAGAGAATGTCTACCATAATGGCAAGAAAGGAGAGAGTTTTACGTGTTCCATGCCCCCTCCAGTGACATCTTCAAATATAAAATTATAGGTCAGCAAGGTAAATAATAAGGTTCTTGTCAAGTGCTCTCAATACACTGAAATATTGTTCACAGCACAGAACTTACAAGCACATTGACAAAAAAAAAAAAAAAAAAAAGTAAAATATATTCAGCTTTTATTAAGTTAGTACAATGCCTATGATGGTTAGTATAACTCAGTCAAATTTGATGGTCAATGTCTAACTTTTTATAGTCAATATATGGAAAGCACGCAATGCTAAGTTCGTCTTTTGTGCATCCTTTAAGACAACACTTTTCTGAATAGCCTCTGCGTTGTCTTTGGAGATGATTCCCCCAAAACAAATTGTTTAGGGTTTTAATTTTGCTATTTTTCTCTGTTAGCTCCACAGTCTCCTGAGTGTACAGATTGATATGTGGTGAGGAGAAATCTCTTGTCGCATCAGGTGGGAAGTTGGCCTTTGAATGTTGACATTCAGGTAGTGGCTGCATCTCTAGACCATTTGTTGACCCTTCCATAGAGGCAGCAGTAGGTGCTGTTGAGACAAGAAGACAAAAGGTTCTTGAACAATGAAACTAGAATACGAAAATCGGTCCAATATTACAAAGTAAGATCACATTTTAAGTAAAATATTAGAAAATATGATTATTCAAAATATATAGCTTTAACGAAAGTGGTTATAGGTGGTGTTTTGTTTATTAAAAAGGTTTTTAAGACTCCTTTGCATCAGTTTTGTACTAACATAGTTCACTGAGATATAATTCATAAGCCATACAATTCAGCATTTTAAAGTATACGTTTCAGTGTTTCTTAGGATACTCACAAGGTTTTGCAACCATCTCTCTTATTGAACTCCAGAACATGTCTGTCACCCCCAAGAGAAACCCTGTACCTTTATAGGGTTACTCCCATTTCCTCCCTGCCAGCCCCTGCTAAGCCCTGATCTTTCTATCTCTAGGGATTTGTTTATTCTGGACATTTCATAGAAATGGAATTATACGATATATGGCCCTTTGGGTGGCTTCTTATACTATTTTTTTAAGTACCATCGAGTTGGTTCTGACTCATAATGACCCTGGGTAGGGTTTCCGAGGAGCGACTGGTGAGTTTGAACCACCAACCTTACAGTTAGCAGTCCAGTTCTTATCCTACAGTACCACACCAAGACTCCTTCTGACACTTAGCATAAGGTATTCAACGTTCCACCATGATGGAGCACGTATCAGTGTTTCATTGCTTTTGATAGCGGCATAAAATCCCATTGTATGAATATACCACCTTTTATTGATCCATCGGTTAGGTATTTGGGTTACTTCCACTTTGGGGCTGTTTTGAATGCTGATAAGAACATGGGTGTACACCTTTTTATATGAGCATAGGTTTTCATTTCTCTTGTGTGTCTAGAAGGGCTGGATCATATATGGTAATTGTATATTTCACTTTTTGAGAAATCACCAAACCGTTTTCTGCTTTGGCGTGCTGGCACCATTTTACATTGTCATTGTAGAAGTACCCCAACTTCTCACCATCCTCAGCAACACTTGTTAGTTTCCTTTGATTGCTAAATGAAAACCATGAAATAATGAAAAGAGTTTTGATTTGTACAGACTTCCAAAGAACAAGCAAATCTATTTTGGAAGAAGAACATCCAGGAGGCTCCTTAGAAGCAAGCATGGCATCACCTCTAGTTCTTTGGACATGTTCTCAGCAGGGTTAAGTCCCTGGAGAAGGACATCATGCTAGGTAAAGTGGAAAGCCGGTGAGAAAGAGGAAACCCATCAATGAGATGAACTGATACCATGGGCTTCAACATAACACTGTGAGGATAGTGCAGGACCAGGCAGGGTTTCGTTCTGTTGTGCAAAGGGTCACTATGAGTCGAAACTAGCTTGTCAGCATCTAACAGTAATAACAGTGACTAATGATGTTGAGGATCGTCTCGTGTGCTTGTTGGCCATTCGTATATCTTTGGAGAAATATCCAAACTCTGCCTAGTTTTTCTTTTTTTTTCAAACAAAACTTTTTATTGTGAATTTAATGAAGGTTTATACAGCTAATCAGTTATCCATTCAACAACTCATACACCTTTTGTTTCATGTCATTGATTGCGGTCCCCGTAATTGTGCCCAGCGCAATTCCTGAGTCTCCTGTTTCTACTCCTCCTCCTTTCCTAACCCTGCCTACCTTCTGAACCTAGTCGTTTGCTTTGCCTGTTTTTTTTTGTTGTTGTTGTTGTTGTTGTTTTAGATTAGATTATTTCTCTCTAGTCACATTTTGTAATTCACAAGCCATAATAACAATTTCCCAAATACCCAAGCCATGGTATTTTCAATAACCTCATATGCACATGAAAGTTGGGCAGTGAATAAGGAAGACCGGAGAAAAAGTGATGCATTTGAATTATAGTGTTGGAGGAGAATATTGAGAATGTCATGGATTATGTTGGAAGAAGTACAGCCAGAAGCTGTCAGGAGGGACCAAGCACTAAGAAGGATATCATGTTGGGTAAAGTGGAGGGTCGGAGAAAAAGAGGAAGACTTCCTATGATCAGCACAGTGGCGGCAGTGATGGGCTCAAGCTTGACAACAGGAGCAGGCAGGCTTTCATTCCATTGTACAGAGGGTTGGTATGCATCTGTACCGACTCAATGGCACCTAACAACAACAAGTAACAATTTTGTTCTTCATTGAAATATTTTAAAAATTGAGTGGTGATATGCTGAGGCACAGTGAACTGCTTGTCACTAACATTCACAACCCGAGTGCTGTTAGCTCACTATTATTGGAAAGAAATGAGAATGACCCAGGAGGTAATTATTTGGAGGTCTGTTGAACTTCTGTCCCATCTACAGTCCCTTCTAGAAAAGCGTATTTGCCTGTAACCTCTTACGCAGCTACGTTCTGAACCATGTGACTCTGCCTGATAAGCACAGTTGAACAGACTGCAAGTTGGCACTTGATCCCAAGGAAACCAGTTTATTACAGAGATCTACGAGTTATCCCTGCCTGTGAAAAATGAGCTGCTCAATCAATCTCCTCTCTCTGAAACTAGACTAAGAAATACAGAGAATATGAGTTATACCACAGCTGATATGATTCTATGAGGGTTGTTATGATAAACTAACTCATAAAAGGAGAAATGGAAAATAAGCAAAGATTCAGAAAGCAGGCAATAGGTGGTTTTGAAGACTGGTGTGATCTGTTAGGTTTTCATGGCCTTTCAGATTTATTTCTAGAGTTGTATTTGGTTTTTCTAACTCCCATTTTTCTTGAGGTTTTTGAGATGAATCCCTCCATTCCCGTGAAAGGTTCTATTAAGAATACTCTTAAGTAATGTATTTAACAAATGCCTAGACTGAACTGTGAACATTCAACTTTAAGGTGGCTAATAAATCGGGCTGCGAACCTTAAGGTCAGCAGTTCGAAACTACCAGCCGCTCCGCGGGAGAAAGATGAGGCTTTCTACTCCCGTAAAGATTTACACCC